GAAGCTTTTGCCACATCATCTGACATGTCACCTTTCAGGGAAATCCCATGGTGATGCAATGAGGAAAATACACTTCTCATGCGTACCAGCATACTTGCTGTTTACCAAAAGACTGTCTGGAAGTATCGACAAATGTTTAAGCCCACATGCACAGAACTATGCATGAACAATAAAAAGTGGGAAAAAAATCCCCCACAGATTTCATTCATTGTGACTCAGCCTTTGATTTACAGTTTTTGGACGCATGATTCCCAGGCGAGTGGGAATTCTCTCCTCTCTTTCCCCGAAGACTTAATAATCTTTCAAGAATTTAAGAACATCAATAGACTTAGATCTGAACTGTCACACCTTTTCCCCCCGACTGGTTTCTTTCTGATGAAGAGCCGTTCCGGTTCTCTTACGGGAAATTGTGTTTGCATTGAAAATTAAACTGGATGTCATGTTGTCATTTAATTTTCTCTCACTGGCAGTTTTGCCCCAGGTCTTGCATACTTGGTCTTAACTGCTGACACTTCCTGCAACTGCCACAGAAGTATCGCCTGTGCTTTATCATACAGGTGCACTTGTGAACCTGTCTGTTGTTTCACACCCAGTTTTAATAATGACATTTCAAAGCTGTTGGATTGGATTCAATTGTACAATGTCCAAAGTTGAGAATGATGTATTTATTTTCCCAGTCTTAATACCTAATTAAGTTTCCTTAACATAATCATATTTCATCCAGTTCATTGTAAAGTTTTTGACCTGTCTGATGGAATCCAGCTGAGTCCTGCTCTGATTAAAAAAAAAAAAAATGCAGTAACACTATTCAGTTTTTAAGTACCACCACATGGTGCATAAGAGTGAAGTGGGGAGTCGTGCCTGCGCTTCCATGGCAGCCTGTCTCTGCATCCTGTCTGATGGATAATGACTACTGTTTCAGTAACAGTCAAATAAAAGAATCACCCCAAGAGCCTTGTCCTCTATCTCCAGATTCTTAGTCTTTGAACCTCTCCCATAGTCTGTTTGTCTTTAACTCACTTTACTTTAGTTCTTCTCACTAACCAAAGTACAAGATTAATAGCTTAAAATGTTGGTGTAAAAATCTCTTTATTTTATAGAGTCTGTTGGAGAAACTTTGCGGATGTCTATTATTAGTTGTTTTATTTCAGCCCCAAAAGTGATTGTATCTTATTCCCATCTTTAGCATAGCATCAATTGCTTTCGGAAGGCATTAGGCAACATTTCTATTGTGTGTGGGTTTTTTTTAAGAGAAACTTTCCCTGTACTGATTAGCTACTATTGAGCAGATTTTAAGATTTAAAATTTTAAGCTTCCTAGAATCCCATACTGTGAATCCAATATTTTGATCTAGGTTTGTTGGATTGAAAGCAGCAATTGTTTCCTTTTGAATCAAAACTCCTCAGGAGAAGTTGTGGATGTGTTGTATGCTGTGTGTAGTTCTTTCAACCAAACCAAAGCAGAGTAGCTTCCCTATACACCAGCATATCACAGGAAAAGTTTTGTATTGTAAAGAAAACGTGTCTTGTGTTCATGGTGTTACTGGATGGTTGTACTAAACCACCTTCTTTGTTCAAGAATGTTTTGTTCAGTTTACTGATGATGGAGTCCTTGACTCCTATCTCAACTCATTTCTCTTATCTGGGCTTTTCCCTTCATGAGTTCCAATCTTGACTGTAGTGCCATCCACATATCTGGTGCTATTTCGTCATGTAAGCTTAGGGCTATTATGCTGTTATGTATCTCACTCTCTTGTTTTTTGTAATACACTGGTGAGAGAGTGTCATTTTGACCACCTGATATCTTCTTGCTGAGTTAAAAAGACTTTGAATCTCTGTTTTGTCTGTGTTTTTTACGAGGTTTGAAACAAAATGTTGTGTGTTATGCATCTCAAAGTATTCTGCTTATGTGAGAATGACCATTTCAGCCATCGTTTTTTATTGGATAAATAAGATATTTACTTGTCCCTGTTTGGTTTTGAACTGAACTTCTGTGTCTGCTGTGGAAACGACAGCAGATTCTTTTATACCCAATCTAGTAATGTTTTCTGTTTTATACAGTTAGAAAAATCTAAATTCAATTGATTTAATCAAATGGCTATTCTTCAACTTTATATGGATTGTAAATTATTTACTGCTGAGAAGTCCTTTTCACTTTATGGTTTATTTCAGGAGTACACATAACAGTCTTGATAACAACAAAAGGGAAAGGAAAACACTAGCACAAGACATTCATATTCAAACTAAATGAATATTTTTTTCTGTAAAAAGAAATACAAATATGTACAGAATTACATTAAACAGGTTCAGAAACCAATAGGTGAGAGGAAGGGGAAGTGTAGTCGCATGGCACTCAAAAAATAAAAATATCTGGCAAGTGCTTTCAGTTTTCCATAATTAATATCAAATAAAATGCAGTGATAATAAGTCTGAATAACAAAACAAATAATTATTACAGTATTCAAATCAATAACATTAACATTTTAAACAGCTTACAGTATAAATTGAAATACATAACATTCTAAATACATCCAATATTTACCAAAGACCTTCTCAAGGAGGCTAGAAACTCTAAATCTGTAATAGAATAAAAAATAGCATTTCAAATATTTTATAACAATATTAATCATACAATAACATTAATAATAGGTTATTAGTAGATGTAAATAGCTAATATTCTCCATGATTTGCTAAGGGAAATTGTACAAATTAATATACACTATAATCTATTGATGCTCTGTTTGCTTTCAGGAAATGCAAAATATTTTTAATTAGCTAAATAATATATAAAATAGGGAAAGAAATAGCAAATCTCACTTATTACAAACTACTTCAATCTAGAATTCTCAATTAGAAAATGTACACAAGAAAAGCAGCAAAAAATCATTTAATATTTTCTATCATGAACAAATCAGTGGTGTGATTGGTAGAAAATAAGGAATTTGTGGCACAGGCAGTTCCATCTGGAATGCTATTGGGAAAGCAGGATTGTCCAATAAAAAAAATAATAAAAAAAAGTCCACTGAGTGTGACTCCCATCCTCCCCTTAAATCTCATTGGTCCTTCTCTTATGCTCCAGGTACAAGCTTCAAGCTCTGCACAATGACTCTGAAACGTCCCAAAAATCCTGTCATGTTCTTAAATTCCATTGTGGAAGCTTTTTCCATGTGGAAAAGAAGAACTGAATTGTCCTCTTGGATTACAGAGCACAAAATCTCATAGTGCTGATTGTGCAATCATCTCAAGCAGTTAATCTCTTTCAGCTCATATAGTTGCTCAAACTCTTAAATTGAGTTTGTTTTGCATTCATATTGTTGATTTGGAGAAGCAGCAAGTAAGAATGTCACTTTCACAAAACTCGGAATGGCTGCCTCCAAGGAGCCAGGGTAACAAAACCAGCTCACAAATTAAATAAACAGAGGAACAAGGCAACACCCAAGCAGCATGTGTATATGTTATCTCCTCCCTTTCAGCCCAAGAAGTTGCACTGCTTCATGAGAATAAGTTCTCTATTAAAATGCATTTAATTGAAAATGAGAGTATATTCAATGCAAAGTGGAAGTGTAGGTTCTATGTAAAAGCGCAGGTTAAGGAATTTACTATGCAGAGCCAGATGTTATCAACAAATGGGATTTTCTGTGGGTTGTTTCTGCTTGTTTGCAGAACCCAGAAAGTTTTATGTCAAAATTTCTAAAGGAGAACTTACTGTCAAATTACTAATATCAGCAATAAGAATGGGGGTCAGATCAGCTAAAAACTTCCTATTTTCTTTTTGATAACCCTATTCTCTTTTCATTGGTGTCGCATTGTGTCATTTTGACTTTATAAATTGAAGGTACTCTAGAATCAGTTTTCATGTAATGAAGAAAATGTACAGCTAATTGAAATTGAAGTTCAGTGTCAGGATTACACACATTTAACCTAACCAAATATAAGTGGGTATGTTAGGCTTAGGGATATCCCCTTTGTGTCTTTGACAAAATGAATATATTTGACACCTGAACATGAGAATGGACTGTAATCTTTCTTGTAGTCAAGTTAGTAATTCAGTATTCAATATTCCCTTGCAATACTAGTATTAGATAAAAGCTTATGTCACTTTATGGCTCATGTTTGGATGAAAATGATGTCAACTGTGGCCCTGAAGTTTTAGTAAAGGACTCTGCTGGCACAGACAGCTGGTAAAACAGCACTTGAGGTTTGTCTGAAGCAACCAATTTTCTATTTACATCTTAAGTACACATCGCCTGATTAACGCTACAGACCAATATTTAAGAGGACACCACTCATTCACTGCCTTCAATGAGTCCACTGTTGGCTTGAGGGAATAGTCGTTCTACACCACAAACTGCTACCCAATGTGCTGCGATCCTTTTGTCTAAATCTGTAACTGAGTAAAAAATGTAAAATCTTGATGGACATTGGCATTTTAAAACCAAAAAGAAACAGAAAAAGAAAACTTGACCAAAATAGCTAAAAAATAATTCTGATACAATATGTCCTCAGAATGTGGAATTTTCAGTTTCATATATTCATCTCTTTTACCCTGCTACACAACTGAAATTCACGGACTGATTGATAAGCTGAATCAAACTGGTAGAATTATTTTCGTTCATCCTATACCCTGTTTCATCCATCTTGCCCCTACAACCGCCTTTAACTTTCTGATTTCAACACTTCATTTCAACAAATTTCCTCTTTTGCACTACCCACTTTCTCTTTAACATTATATTACATAGCTTTGTGTACATAATTTGTTTGTATATTTAAAAGAAATTACACATAATTGAGCATAATTTTTGGCAGCCTCTTCCTTCCTAAAGGAAAGTCTTGATCGTCAGGTGTGACAAGAGATGAAGACTTCTACTTTTAATTTGAAAGCAACCTCCTATTGGCAGAACAAAGGTGGAGAGGGAAAAAAAATTCCTTCTTCCTTTTTTCAGTCTTTTACCATAAGACAGTATTGCTTACCCCCACCCCCATTCATCAACCATCTGCTCCTCAAACTGTTGCCCCAAGTAACTCTTCTGACTTAGCCATGATCTCATTCTGGTTGGAGTCCAAGCCGTAGAACTTCACCTTGAGCCCATCGACTGGGTGAACAACTGGAACTGTGACCACTCGGGGGAACTGTCGAGTGGCCAGCTCAAAGCGGCTGGTGCTGGCCAGCTCAATAGCCAATATGCGAAGAAACAGAGTGGCAAGCTGCTTTCCCAGACAAGACCTGACACCACCACCAAAGGGCAGGTAGTGGAAGCGTCCCTCTTTGTCTTCACCCCTCTCCTGACTGAAACGGTCGGGGTCAAAGGTTTCCACATCCTTGAAGACTGCGGCTGTGTCATGAGTGTCTCGAATGCTGTACATCACACTCCAGCCTTTTGGAATCTGTACTCCCTGGAGATTAAAAAGGACATTTTAAGCGAAGATAAAACTTGTAATGTTGGCTAGATCATATCATAGTTCAAGAGTAAGTATATGAACCTGCATAAATCAGTACAGAAAAGCAGTGCTGCATTTAAGGAATTATAGCTTTTTACAAGTTGTAGGGCACCACTCCACTTATTTGTTTAATGAAGATGATCGGAACACTCACATCCAGTTCAAAGGTCTGCATGGCAGTTCGGTAGGCACCAGAAACGGGTGTAAATAGTCGCAGCACTTCCTTGATGACACAGTCAAGGTACTTCAGGCTGACAATAGTGTCCAACCTAAGCTCTCCTTCAGGACAGAGACAGCCATTGTGGAGAAGTCCCCTGGCTCTCAGCTCCTCTCTGAGACGTTCCAGGACAGTAGGGTGGCGGAGGAGCTGCATGATGAGGGAGGTGCTCGCACTGGCGGTGGTGGCAAAAGCAGCAAAGATCAGCTCGATAGTTGATTCCTGTGGTGTGATAAAAACACATGTGGTGCATCAGATCCATTTCTTTTTACCTTTTTAGTTATCTTGCAATAATATTATTTTACCTCGTGACATAAACAAAGTACAACAAGCAGATTTAATACTGGCATTATGACTTTGTTGGATTGGGCTTCCTTTCACGGAGAACTTTTATGGGGGAGAAGTCCCATGGAGGGAAGGGCAGAATCGATGGGAAAGGTTTGCTAACAGTTTTGTGGATGGCATTCATGTGAATGTCTGGATGCAGGTTTTGCTGTTAGAAAGTTGCATTGTCTCTTGCGTTTTACCTGTCATTGGATTTAATATTATCTACTAAGGGTTATATTGGAAAAGGAACATAAAGTCAGAGCAGCGTACCTCACATGGTAAGCCTTTCATCTGCCGTCATAAGTGTCAGAACACACCTGTGCCTCATCTTACGTGTGTTTTTATATGTGTCAGTCAAAAAAGCTGAAAGGGACGACTTCAGCCTGGGTCTCTGTGACAGGGCTCCCCGGTTCAGTGTGTATACATGTGTGTGTTTGTGTGTGTGTACAGGAGGCCTCTTTCAGACCCCTAGCAGGGGCAGTGTTGACTTATTTTTGGCCCTGGAGTTAACCCAGAAACCACAAAGAGCCAGAGAGTGGCAGAGCTTAGTTTCCATAGAATTCCTCAAAATTACATAAATGGGTAAATAGAGGGTGTGCTTGTCCTTCGCTATGTGTTTTTCTTTTTCATTTGGCTGTTAGCATCAGCTTAGCATCTTTTCACATTTTACAAAATGATGCATATTATTAATTGACTGGATAGTTATAATTGTACTCACACACTGTACAATTTGTGTTTGATCACATATATCTGTATGTGATTGAGTGGATTTATGCACACCCAGCTTTTTTCTCGTAGATGTTTCCAGATGGTTTTTGCGTATTGATGGGTTACCTTTAGCTCCTGCATGGTGAGCTCTGTGCCATTCTCTTTAGCGCTCTCCATCAGGACATCCAGTGCATCACTGTAGTCCTTTCCTTGTGAGCACATTGGCTTCTCCCTGATGGCTTTCTCTATGCTTTTCTGAAGGGTGTCTCGTGCACGGATACCCTGCAAATACCCACAGATCATTCCAATTATACAGCCATTAGATTTATTCACAGTACAAATACTTTTTACAAAACATTTTGAAATATTTTCCATTCATTCCCCATTTTCCAAACATTCCCAATAAATTCAAAACATGTTATTTTCTGCTCAGAGGGCTTTGCTAAGACAATGACCAGGCTGGTGAAGAAATCACTATGAACCAAGACCCTTAAGCAGGAACTCTTTTAAGTGTCTTGGAATTTAAACCATTCCTTTAAGTGAAAAAGCATACCTTTCTGTAGCCGCTAAAAGGTAGGTCTATGGGCAGACTGAAGAGGTTGTTTACAAAATCCTGGAAGGCTGAGAACAAATGTCTCATTTCCTCATCGGACACCCTGAAACCCAGCAGCACCCTCACAGCCATTGTGAATGACAGCCTCTGGCTCTCCCTGGGATGAGACAAACAGCAAGATACATTTTGAAAATAAAACCCTAAATGATTAGAAAAGATCAGACTATTCTTTTTTTCCCATGAATCATTCCATATTATTGAACTGCAGCTGCTGCAGTACAATGAAAATATTCATGCTGAATTTTGTATTTTTTATATTTACATTGCATTGTTGATATATTAACTTAAGTAAATTATTTGAATTTCTTTTCCATTACCACTTGTAGGAGCTACATACCGGTAGACGTTGATGGGATCAGGGTTTGAGCTCCACACTCTGAGGCTCTCCTGGATGACCTGCTGGATTTTAGGAAGGTAGGACTCCAAGGCCTCATGGCTGAACACTTTGGCAAACACCTGTAGAGACAGAACGAAAGGCATGTGGGTTTCATTTAGTTTTTCGAATACACACCCATTTGCACATAGTTTGAGATCAGAAACGTCTTTCGTTTAATCCTTAGAATTTCTAAAAGAAGGTGAATTAGTCACAGAGCTTTGTTTGAATCGGAACAAGTCAAATCAAAAGATAAAGTCCCACAGATTATTAACGGTAATCTCTTTATGGTTGGTACAAACGCACAGTGTTGCACAAAATCCTGACTGACAGGGTGTGTGAGCAGAAAGCAGAGGAACGGGTTTACTTTTGAAATGTCCATTATTGCAGCAAAGGAAGTAATTCTGTCTAAGTTGGTTATCTTAGTTTCAGTGACTAATGTACACAATTAAGGTCAAATTTAGTGTAAAGTTTAGGCATGGATTAAACTGAGATTGCACCTATTAGGACCAATTTCCCCTGGTTATCTTTCTCTCTTATAATAAGGGACACTTCGACCACTTCTGTCCACATTGTGTTTGTTTTAATTAATTTATGTGAGGCCATTGCCCAGACCCCCCCCCCCCGCCATGTTCTTTAGAGACTTATACATTGTGGAGGTTTTTCCCTGCAGTCAGCACAACTGGAATGATGGACATAAAGAGCAGGAGAGAAGGAGTCTTTCCTGGCTGCCTTTAGTATTTCTCTGTTTGAACCGGTCATCAGACGTCAGTACTGTTTGGACAAAAAACATTTCTAGATTTAGCTTAAAGCAGTCTGAGAACAGCGCAAAGGAATAAAAAAAAGGGTGTTGTTGGCTTAAGTTTCTAAAGCTTGGTTTTACCCAAATGAATAGAATTCTTTGCTTGTATTCAGAGCAATGATGAGAACAGAGTAAAAAAGGTGCTGCTTTTGGGTGAAGACTATTAGACGGCATGCAGTCAAGCAAAGTTGGCAGGATGGGTTTACAAATTTGTTTTAAGGGAGAGCAGTGTTCAATGCTTTTGCCAACCATTGAGGGACTCTAGATTCTTCTACTGAAGTCCCTTACATTTTCCATTACAAGGTTATACTCAATGAGCATTTACAGTACAGGAATGCAACACATTCCTAAGCGTAGTTCTTTATTTTCTGTTCAAAGAAAGAAGAGAGAAATATATGTATATGCAAACACTGTATTAGTCTCTATAAATTGTCGACAGTTAAACCCATGAGTTTTCTCCGGTTAACAAGAGATGCAAGAGATTACACGCAGTATCTGACTCAAGAAGAGTCTGAGACTGTCATGACTTGTTATATTCTGCTTTGTTCTAGCTTTACTTAGCGCCCATTTCAATGAACCAATTGTTAATAATGACAGTGAAATTTTCAAGAAAACCTTCAGTGCTTAAGAGTGGTGGCATAATAAGTATATCTTCTTAAGCATTGTATTAGTAAATCCAGTGGTAGACATTACACATAATGCACTGAACCAGGTGTTTTACCTTACGGTGAAGCCAGATTTTCAGGGACACAATTGAAGCCTCGTAGTGTAAGGTCTTTCTGTTGTCTATTACTTGTCAGATGAATTAAATGACTAGACAAACATTTTTTTTCACAAATTGCAGAGAATAAAAATGGAAAAAAAACAGAAAAAAACTACCATACACAGAGGATATTCTGAAAAATTATTGGGCAAAAACACTGGTTGGTTGAAAAGACTGCGACATTATGAGTTTATCCATTTAACCCTTCTGCACTGGATTATGCATAATTGCTCAATTTGAGTGAGCACTCTGCGTATCCTTATTCACACACACACACACACACACACACACACACACACACACACACACACGCACACTCTGACATAAATAGACACAGAGCAGTAGGGTTGAACTACTGTTGGACCAGTGAGTCAGTCAGTGTGTGGAGGAATGGCTCTGAAAGGTAACTACAGGTCAGACAAACACACACCCAGAATTTCACTGCACAACCTGGCTGCCGATCAAATGTAGTTTTATGCAGTGTCACTGTAGGACGTTCCAAGTTGCACTCAAGATGCAGGCTTTTTTTTCTTTTGGGGGAGGGGGGTGTTTGTGTGTGGTGGTGGGGGAGTTGTTCAGTACAACAGTCATTTCGCCGCACCACAAAAACGTGACTGTCTTCTGTTGCCTGCAGCACAAAGACGCAGGATTTGAAACACACACACACATAGACACAGTCTCTCACACACAGACACAGTCGTCCTAATAACGTCCATATGTCTTAAATTATGTGAAAGTGCTGTGAGCTGCTGGTTCCACAGACATGTAAAGACTCCTTTATTCTTTTCTCTGCCCTCACTGCTCCCACCTCTTCCCGTCTCTCCCTGCCCCTTCATCCATCCTCTTTCAAAAATACTTTTTATTCCTTGCTCTTTTCTTTCAGTCTGCACTGTATGTCTTTCCATTTTTCTATCCTCACTTTGAATCAGAAGGGGACTTTCAAGTAGACAAGGGTCTTGTTTTAGTCATGTTTACAGAATCACATCAGCAGTACAAAGCAAACTTCTCTAACATGAAACATGATACAAACACCAACTTTTCCAGCTTTCAGTGTTCTCCATACAGAACATCAAATAAACAACTAAATTTGACTTTAATATTTTTCTCAAGCTGCAGCATTTTTATGTCACTTATTTATAGCCAAAGGAATTGAAATATGTTTTTTAGTTAATAGGTGCACAAACATGGTGCATCACTGTGACTACATACATACAGATACATACAGTACTTCCACTTTTGTTATTTCACACCCAGACTTCTGGTGTCTTTGACGGCTTTTAAAACTTGTATCATCTTAATTAAACAAAATACCAGAGATCACATAAATGTAAATGTTATATTCAGATCAGCTTTTTTACTGTTTCTCTTTGACATTTGCATTTGTTTGTGTTGCGCAGCTAAAAAAAATCAAGTACAATGTTGAGTTCTGTAAATTTTCTTAGAAAGAAATCCATCAACTCAAATGGTAAAAAAACTGCATTCTCAAGGGTTTCTTAAGATCAGAATTGCAAGTAGGAGTTATAGTTATAGTCTGTCATAACATATTAGAATCCTCCGTTGTGAAGACTTCAGGCTTGCTTGGATTACAAAAAAAAAGGTGGCAGAGATAATGGGCTCTCTTACAAATGGCAATGCCCTCTACTGGATGTGAGAAAAAGTACACACAGCCATAAAATGTTAAATGCATGCAGAGCAGCGTCTTCTCACTGCGATTTGAAGGGACATGGCAAAGTTAAATGATTGCCCCATACTCAGTGGAGATTTACTGTCAGTTACTTCTCATTATGAGAAACACCCAGCAGCAACTGGCAAAATGTGTCAGGCTGGGGTGTTAAATAAAGGCAAAGGTCAATTTCTCGTCCAGTCTCTCCTCTCTGTCTCCCTCTCTGTTTTTCCTGCCTCTGTTTCTCCTTAATTTAGGGATGGAGTGATGAATCCAAAAGAAAGAATAACAAGGGGAAGGAAAATGTGGTAAAAAATAATAATAAGGGAAAATGAGGGAGTCTGGGCAGTTGAGGGGTAGAAAAGACTAAGCGAAAGGTATGTCAATAAGGTGAAATGAAAAAAAAAGGTTCTTACAGCAAACTTGGTGCATAGCATTGTAAGGGTGCATTTGTTTTGAAGTTCAGCTTTATGTGATTATTGGTTACAACTGTTATGAAAGTCAAAGAAAGTTTCTTTAATCATCATCATCATTGTTAGTAAGGACTAGATTGGTCACCAAAGTTTCAAACTCGGCCTAAAGCTGGAGGAAGAAAAGATATAAGCCAAAACTGTTTGACCAAATCCAAAGGTCAAACCCCAATTAACACAGCTTTACTAGGGTAAGATTTATAGACTCGTACCATGCTAATAAAAGCTTCATACGTTCAAAAATGTCATATTTGCTTCAATAAACTTTAAAAAAGAGGTAATGCTGATAACTGACTTTGTACTACTGGAGACTGTCCACAAGCTCATAGGCAAATGATGGTTGGGGGTAACATGTATGTCCTTACTGTTCGGCTCCGTTGGCCTGTTGTGGAAAGCCAGTCCACTGTGGTTCTTTAAGAGTTAGTTTCCCAGCTTAACACTAGGTTATATGGAAACTGGCTGGCTCTGTTGATCCACTAAAGGCTAATGTGCTGTGTGAAGATTGTTTTTCCATACGAAAACCACGAGGAGGGCAGACACACACAGAGGAGCAGTTCTGGTCCAGTGGGTCAGACAGTAAGCCAGTCGCTTATGCTTTTTCTCAGTCAATGTTGTCTCGCTTCTGTCTATTGACTTAGTTTTATTACGCAGAAAACAGGACTGCACGTTGCCAACGCACACACATACAAGCCATGAAATCTGCCCAGCTGCCTGCCCACTCTCCTTCTGATCTTTTTCTGTCAGTCGAAATGATATGACTTTGATTTTCAAAGCAGCCAGAGGGCTAAATTGGGTAATTGTGGGATAAACACTCATATAGCACAAAATGCATCAATGGGTGTGATTATCTTGTAGGCATTAGACTCTGTTGCATATATCTTGGTTGGAATCTGTGTTATTTCTGGAGCATGTTGGTTTTACTAATCTGCCTGTGCTACTTCTGTCACATGATAAAATCAACTAAGCATAATATGTCTCGTGCTATTCTCCTTGTATTGGTTTAGCACATGCTTTGTTATGGATGGGAAATGGTGAATAAAGTGGAATTTTAGTTCATATTGAGTTAATTTTAGATTACATAAATCTGGATTTTGGTGTGGTATATGTTAAAAGAATGATTAATATCTCTTTTTAACAGTTCATTATTTTAGAAAGTGCGTTATCTGATGTCTCTTCATTTAAACCAACGTATGTTACAAGTTTTGTGATGTGTTGACAGAGCTTATCTTTTGAAATAGAGGAATGCATCTTCAAATCAAAAAAGATCTGACATTTCACACAATGTCTTTTTGATTTAATTTTACAATCAATGTAAATTCGGCCTTTGCCTCACTTGTCACGTGACTAACTAGTATTCCACAAAAGTTATTGGCCACCCCACAGGCGAACTGAAAGATGCAAATTCGCTTTGGTGTATACACAAAAATGGGTAGTGGCTTAAAACCTTGCTGATATAACATCTAAACATCGGATCCACAGACCAAATGCTCAGGTTTGTTCATAAAATGTTTTTTTATGAACTCTGTTTTTTAAGTGTCACGGCCACAATGCATGCCTGCATCTCAACGTTAAACCTAACAATGCCCTGAATAAACCGGATGCTTGAATCAGTTGAGTTGATTTCTAGTAGTTTTGGAAAGCAGTTAATGATTGATAACTCTAAAACCTTGGGTGATTATTCTTGCCATCTCAAAGCAGGTACTCATATTTCTTGACATGTGCCAAGTGTTTTCTAGCTTTTTTGCTATGATTTTGAAAAAAAAGAGAAAAGTAACATGGCTTAATCTGTTTGTGTACGTATGCAGGCCAGCCTGACCAGCCGCAGGTGTGAGATTGTAAGTGTTTGTTGTTGGCAGCAATTTTTTTTATTTTAATACTGGTTCAACTTCTTGCTACAATTGACTTTTCTGAGCCTTCACACAACTCCATCTTTTTGTTTTTTCCTTTTTTTTTAGTGCAAGGATGTGTTCAGGTGTGTGTGCTTTTGCATGCTGTGTGTGTCAGGCCCCCACAGAAAGCCCCTCTTTGTGCCATGTCGGAGGCAGCCTTCCTAATCAGGGGTCATTACATGAGGTTAGTGTGGGGGTCTCCAGGGAGAGGAGACGGGATCAGAGCTCAGATTAGACCCAGCCGACCCCTCACTGTCCCCGGGCACCGCTGTAGCGAAACCTGACCCTCCTCCAAAGCCCCCCCACTAACACCCCCCTCACCTCCCCCTCCCATTCTTCACCCACACACTCAAACACATATACTCTGCTGTGAGAAAATGAGAGACTGATTTACTGGAAAACATGGGAGACTGCTTCTTATTCTTCCGATCCTTTATGTGTTTATCTATGATGTTGTGTCTTCATCTACCTGATGTGTGTATGTGTGATAAGGGGAAGGGAAGTGGCCTGAGGATAATCGGAGGGAGAGGTAAGTGGCTGATTACCCAAAATGGTCCTGGCTCAGACAAGAGAGAGGAAGTGGATGAAAGAGAGAGGGTGAAATGACAGAAATCAACCAGAGACTATAAGCAAAACAGATAATTGAGGACCGTCTCCTAATGTAGACGAGTGGAGAACAGGATCAAGAGTTGGATGGGTAGTTTTGCCGCTTCAGTAGCCAGAACCATGTGGAAAAGACAGAGCCAACTGGATAGCTTTTCACAGATATGGCGTGTCTGTGTGTGTGTTTGAATTTACCAAGATTCCACTGCCCTTAACAGATGTCTGTTATTTGAGAGAATGAATACTTTGAATTAGTGACTACTGTTCAGATTAACATTTTTTTATTTCCTTTTCTTAAAAATTAATATCACTTTCCTTATATGTGTATTAGATTATAATAGATTACCAAACCATTCAGATGCTCCTCAGACAGTTATTATATGCTATGTGCTGTGACATAATTTGTTCAAAGTATCTGCTGTCTGCGGTGGACACACACATATTAGGTTATTTTGTTGAAATTGTATGAAAACCAACAGTCTTCATCATTTGAATGTAAGAGGGAGAAAAATTATAAAGCCCAGACTTGCAACTGAGTTAAGCCTAGTTCTTCACTATTTGGTTAATTAGTTGGAGAAGTCCTCTTGGAGAAAATATTGCCAGGTGATTATTTGGGCACTGAACAAACATTTGTTCACACAATGCAGCCTTGGTTTCACATTTTATGTGAGATCAACTTGGATGATTGAATCCCTTTATAGTTGGTCTGTGAAAATAGTTGAAAATTGTCAGATTCTGATAAAGGTAAGCAGATGCATGAAATCATTAGATTTAGATTTTAGGGGAATTCTGACTCTGACTCAGACACCGTACATGTACTCAAACAGTCATCTACTGTGTCTGAAAAATTTAGCTGTTTTTCCACTGGTGAATTCTCCAGTAAAATTAACTGCTTTTGTTAATGTGAGCATTTTCAAGTTAGAATCGCGTCTTGTGTTTTTATTTGATTACCCAGCAAATCTGTAATCTTGGCACATGGCTGTGCAAACCCAGCAGGGATCTGTGTGTTCTATTTCTTTGAGTTTTGATGTTAATTTATGTACTTTGAGTTCAAGCTGACTGTAGCCAGTATCACCATCTACATATGTCTGTTGTGAACATTTACATGCGAGTCCTAACCTTTCTTCTCTTGCGGTGGATGTCTCCGATGCTGTTAGCCAGCGAGTTTGGTCCCAGCAGTGTGGAGGTGCTCTGAGGCCAGTCCACGGTCACCAACGTGTGTTCACCCATCAGAACCTTACGTACGTTTTCAGCACCTGTCACTCGAATCAGAGGGCGGCCCAGAAGATGCGTCTTGAAAACGTTGCCATACTTCTGTCGCCGTGATGCGTGAAATCCGGAACCCTGAGAAAGTGAAGTCAGACAGGCACATCTATCACTCAGGGAATAGTTGAAATCACTTCATCTAGTGGCAGAGCTGTTATATAAATATTATTTGCTGGATTTTAGACATTGGAAAGATTAACATTTCCTTAAGGCAGCAGAGGAAGTAAAAATGTTATTAAAGGCAAACCAAGCATAAGAAGGAGGTGAGTGCACTTCCAAAGAAAGCGTTCAGGAAATACTATGGATTTTGTTGAAAGGTGGAACTTCCCTTCAGTGCCACTGTTTACAACAGAAGGTGTGACAAGACACCACTCTGAGGAAATCCCCAAACATTCCACCCTGTTTCATGGACGTTTGTGGACTTTTCCCATTATGTTGATGGAGATCCCCCTCATCTCCACTCCCAATGAATTTGATCATTTCCTCAGCTGATCCTCAATTACTGAGCAAATCTTAGAATTTCATTAAGAAGCTGACTTTGCAACAGATTATGACCATTTGAAGTAGTTATGAAATACAAACTATTATGTCTTTACACGGTTTCTTCCCTTTTATTTTTTCTTTCTCTTCCTTTCATGTCTCCATTGCCATCTTCTCTGATCTTCAACATCATCAACTGAGCAAAACAGCATTTCTTACTGCCAATTTGGCAATTAGCCCAACTCATTAAAAAAAAGATCCTCAAATCGACAACTGGATTACAGCAGAGAAACCACACAGATGGATCTTTAGCAGCTACATTTACTAGATTGATGCCACGGAAAATAAAGACATGTTTGGCCAAAAGGAGCCATGGACCCTTTTCAAGCCCTAGTGTCGTGTTCTGAGCAGCCTAGCTTTCTTTTTAAAATGTCAGAGTACCAAAGTTGGAGTCTGTTTGCATGCTGACCTGAGTGCAGCTTTGACGCTGACCTCTAAGCGGTATGGGTCATGGCAGAGCGGGAGGGAGCCGACCCTGGAACTGTAAATGGGCTGTTTGAGTGAAAAGAATATACGAGCCTGAGGGCATCTTACGGTGTTATTCACATATAGAGTGTATACAGCACACCATATCTAACGTTCACATGCAAGTACTCACACATACTATAAAAGCACACTATCATGTACATGTATGTTCAGGTACTCACACTCTCACATACACACATATGCTCCAGATTCATGACATTCAGCAAAAAAAAAAAAAAATGTTCAAAGCAAACAAACATGAAGAGGCCCAACTGCAAATTGCCGTGACAACACTAACTGGTTTGACCCCAGTTTACTCAAGGGGAAAGAGATATGTTCAACTGCTCAGCGCACACACACAGTCACAGAGTCGTAATATATATGACCATACAAGAAGCTGTATTGTGAGATGCTCTTTGAGAGTTTTAGTCCAACTTTCAAAAAATAGATAATTTGTCTTGTTAATATGTACATCATTATCTTGATATTTAAAAAAAATAATGAATAAATTAAGAATACTGTGCGACACAGAGAACCTCTGTACTTTTTACACTAATGGGGAAATCTGCAGAAATCAGTATCTAATTTTAGCTGTTTCCTGGCTGAGACACACCTCTGGCAGCAGCAGTGCTTTCAGTCTTTGTGCACATGTGAGAGCTCACACAGCTTGGTCTCCTCACAGTGATTCACACAGAGCTTTACGGTGTAATTTGTGGCTCAGAGTCCTGCAGTGAAGCCTTGATATGTTCAATAAAATCTGAATCAAAGTCTGCTTCAGGTTCCCAAAAATTCTTAAACATGAGTAGGTGTTTAGGTTTTACACACAGTACCTGCTTGCTCACTGGTTGTTATTCTGAAAAAAACTATCAGATTTTTAAAAGATTGGAAAACAACTCAGTTTAAGACTAATTTGCAACTACTGCTGATTTCTCTCACTTTGGTATTGAGAGGCTGAAGGGTTTCCAAGTTATTTAAAATGGACTCTCTGTGGTCAAACCATCTTCTTGACCTGCACCGAGGGCCAAACAGTTGTGACATCGGAATGCAAATGGTGACCAGACAGCATCTGTCCCATTCACTCAGCCGTGTGCATGTTAGACTTCAATACAAGGTGATCCGCTCATTTAGCTTCCTCCTTCTTTTCCATCATCTGGTGAATTACATTTCCAGTTTTAGCTTTTTGAAATTGTCAAGGCAAGAGTGAAAAAGGCCGTAGACCTGTGATTCTTTCCTTCATATAAATAGTTTGGTGCCTCACCAAACTATTTCCTTTTATCGGTCAATCAGAATCCAATCATTTTGTGCCCTTTATTTTTTTAGGCTTTCCACAAAGACATGTTTCTACTCAGCCAGCACAAAGCAAACAAACCTGTGTTCTTGCCATCTTATTCGTGTCCCTCGGCTCTTTCTCACCTTTTTGCGACGCATCTCACATCTTTCTCTGCGTGAGCTGAATTAAGCACAGATGCTTTGGCCTCCCAGCAGCCCTGTTAGCTGTTTCATGTCGCTTTGAACACTGTGATCACTAGACTGCTTTTATAGATGAAAAATGCTGCTAATTAGCATTCTACCCAGCATGCCCCCACCTCCATGGCTGTGTTTGTAACAGCACTGTAGCCCCCTCAGATGTTAAGGCCTCTTTGTGAGGTGTTGACAAAATTTTATTTACACCACGTGTTTACTCTGAGGTTTTCAATAAAACTGTCTGGCTTCTGGTTTCTGCTGAAAGCTGTGGTGTGATTGTTGTTACACAGCACCCGTTTCTATTGGACGATGCCATCAGACTTTAGTACAGTTACGTTTGACTCGGGACTCCTGATTCCTTCACCATTACAGATTTCAGTTGCTTTTTCTCTCAGCCGATCTCTCTGGGTACAAACTGTTGACCTGGGTTGTTTTCACAGCTCCTGTACACTTCCTCTTTTTACTACAGCATGCACATACACATTAACACAGACACACACCAGGTTGCCGACTGGCCTCCAAAGCCCTTAGGGTGTGTGTGTGCGTTATAGTGGGGTTGTTTTCCAACCTACATTTTGCTGCCACATGGATGTGGAGTGGTTTAGTATGTCTGCCTGGCAGGCTTGCTGACACACACACACACACACATACACACACACACACACGCACACACAGACAGTCCAATTCAAAGGGAGTTCCTCAGGCAGCCAGACAAGGCTCCCTTTCACACTCCAAGATACAGCATCAGATTGGGGCGATTGTGTACTTTTCTTTTAGGGTGTGTATGTAGGAAGCTATGTGCTTTATGTGTGTATTTCTTTATATGATTTATTTTTCCATTACCCTACATTTACGTTTCATGCGAAAATGTTGGCTGAAGGCCGAAGCTTTTCATCTGTCATACTGTCTTCAGGAAAATGGGGGAAAAAACGTTGCGCCGACAAAAAGTCACAGTGAAATAATCTGTGTGATTCTGTTTGCCAGGGGTGTGGTCTGGATGACATTTAGCTTAAAAGGTGAGAAGTGTACACCCCCGCTCCCTCCCCAGATCTGGCAAAACACATACATTCACACACAAATGCACAGAGCAAGCATGGAAAGTTGTGATGTAATGACGCCACACTTGTCCTGCAGGAGAACACGTGCGGAACTGCATTCAGGCTCACGGTGAGCATGCTCACACACAAACAGAGCCGTAGCTACAAGACGCGGCGTCAAAGCATTACACTGATTACGCAGACTGAAACAAAGTTTCCCTCCAAACTTCAGTGAAGTGAAGGAGCCCTCGCTCTAAACACTCGTTTAGTTTTTGCAGAAAATACCCAGAAACCAAAATTGCCACCACAACATTATGGCAGAGGTCAAAGGCAGCAGACTCTGATGTGAGCTGTAAACCATAAAGAGAGTTTTCTTAAGGATGGCTGGCATAAAATCTTTTAACTTTTTTTAGTTTTTTAGTGCAACTGTTGCTTGGCAACTTAAAAATGTGGAAGCTGGCAACTGGAGACACAAACATAATCCGCGCACCACTTCTTTATGCACTTCATGCATTTAGCAGCTGCTGTGACTTTGTCTTGCAGCTTAGATTTACACATAGCATCACCTCCTCTAAAGCACTTCTGTTCTTTACATTATAACTGTTTTACAGAAGATGCACTTGCTACAAAACTTTCAGAAATTGTGGATATTTTGTATATACAAATGCATTTTAAAATACCTCATTAAATAGTTCCTTCCTTTTACTATTTAGTATGAACGAGGGTTGGAAATTAAGTAAAACATACTCACTTTATGTCTATAAGTATTTGTACATTTTGCGCTACTTTACAGTAACGTCTATCCTCAGTCTATAGACTATCAAACATTTCATCATAATTAGGGCATCTATCCATTGGATATTAGTTCAAAAACCTAAATTAAATGGATAAAGAAATTCTTACGTACTACCAAGCTTTTGAGGGAAATTTACAAGCTATCCAATGATTTAAAGATCTGTTAGTAACATCATCGTCATAGTAATGGGTGCATGAATGCATTATGACATATTATATAATGTCAACCTGACAATTTGACACTTTCAACCCGTTTTATGGTAGAACCTGTGGATGCTTTTAACAGTACCATTCTTTCTTTCACCTCTACTGACACTAACCATCATAAAGCAGTGGCATTCTCAAAAGAAAACAAAAACATTAGACTTTTCTTGACTTGTTAAAGTGAAACACTTTCCATCCATCTCCCCAGAGCTCCCCATTCACTCTAAGCTAAGAAGAAAACCAGTGCCGATGGGCTGAGAGCAGCGAATGCAGCTTCAAACTGCACCCTGAGGCGTGATTAAACCAAGGTCAGAATAAGAGCAAATTCAAGTTTTTTCAAGGGTTAAAGGTTTTGTATACTCCCTGGAAGGGTAAGACTGTCCCAGAAGTATAGCACTTTCAACTTTGTCCATGCATGCTTGTTTGTGTCAGGAATCATGACACACTGTAAGCTGCAATGTCAGCTTCCACAGAGTGTCTTTCATATATATATATATATATATATATATTACTGAGATTTTTCAGATATTTTACAAGAACCTCATTAAAGGGGGAGTAAAAGGGGGAGTTTCAATCAAGTGTTTTCAACACATGTAAGCATACACATGAAAA